TTACAGTGAAGTTCATCTGATTATATTGCAGTTGAGTACATCTGGTTATATTACAGTGAAGTACATCTGGTTATATTAAAGATAAGAACATCTGGTTGTATTACAGTTGAGTACAACTGGTTATATTACAGTTAAGTACATCTGGTTATATTACAGTGAAGTACACCTGGTTTTATTACAGATAAGTACACCTGTTTATATCACAGTTGAGTACATCTGGTTTATTACGTTAAGTTCACCTGGTTATATTACAGTTGAGTACACCTGGTTACATTACAGTTAAGTTCACCTGGTTATATTACAGTGAAGTACACCTGGTTATATTACAGTTAAGTTCACCTGGTTATATTACAGTTAAGTACACCTGGTTATATAACAGTTAAGTACACCTGGTTATATAACAGTTAAGTACACCTGGTTATATAACAGTTAAGTACACCTAATTATTTACAGTTAAGTACACCTGGTTATATAACAGTTCAGTACACCTAAATATTTACAGTTAAGTACACCTGGTTATATTATAGTTACGTACATGTGGTTATATTACAGTGAAATTTCACTTGGTTATATTACAGTTAAGTACACCTGGTTATATTACAGTTGAGTACATCTGGTTATATTACAGTTAAGTTCACCTGGTTATATTACAGTTAAGTACACTTGGTTTTATTACAGTTAAATAGACTTGGTTACATGCATATTACATTATATATCAAATATCTCAAACTTTATAGATCAAACATCTCAGACTTCAAATATCAAAATATTTCAAATCTCAAACTTGTACTATATATATTACAGCGCTAAAGTATATATCACTGTCACCAGGAGTAAGCTTATAAGCTTAGTTTACACTAGCATTAGCATATTTTGCAGGCATTTGTTATGCGTCTTTACCTTTGAAAGGTTCAGCAGAAAGGAATGTGAAGAACAAACCCGACCCTTTATATATACAACACTTGCTGTATCATCCAAGCCCGACTCTTAAAAGACAATGTATAAGGGACCTATATACAAGTATAGGTCCCTGCAAATATACTTTTCTCGTAAAATAAAGGCATCTATTTTGTATACACAAATAGATGCTATTATATATATATTTCTCTCTCTTTTTTTAGGTCAATAGAATAAAAATCCAGTTGTAACATAATCGTGTCCTAATGTATTTTGACAGAAGTTAATTTTATTATACAAAATTAGTCTATACCTTGTGCGTAATAGGGCACAGTTTATACATCAGTGATTGTAATTGATCTAAAGAAGTTTGGTCTTACTGGAATTCTCCAAAACATTAGGGTGAATAATTAACTTAGCTTTTTAATTTATAATTATCGAGTTCAAGACCTATTTCTCATATTTGGTTCTCTTATCGCCAAAAAATCAACACAGGAATACGTTGTTGGTGTATGCATATTTACATACCATCTCCAATCTCTGTGTGTAATAAGGCTCCTTGTCTATCATCAAAAGGTCGCTTAAAGGTCTGCAGTCTCTCGGGTAATCACAAAGACAAATTGGCTTTCAATTTCCGCAGCGTGGTGTGTGTGTTGAGTCGACCTTCAGCTTATTGTGTAAAAAGCCATGCTGAATGATACAAGTAACAGATTCAACTTGTTGAACAGCATTAAGCTTTATTATAAAAATGCATGACCATATTTAGTTTAACTATATGTATGTTCTACATGCCGATGAAGTTTTAGGATTTCTTGTAATTAGCTCTACTGGTCAGAGACTTCAAGAACTTATGCGATAGTAAGGTGTCCGTCGTCCGTCCGTCTAGCTGTTTGTCTGTCCGTCTGTCTGTAAACAATTTTTCAAAATGCTTCTCCTCCTACAGTTTTGGTCTGATTTCAATATAACTTGGCATACAAGTAGACTATACTATTAAAGATACATAATTCTATGCATCGGTTTTTGAATTTGATGAATGATATTGCCATGGTTTCTTATAAAAGAAATTTCCGAGAAACTTCTTTAAAACGCTACTCCTCCTACAGTTTTGGCCTGATTTCAGTATAACTTGGCAGACATGTAGCTTAAATATTGTAGCTTAACATTTTGATTTTTTCGAGCATTTCTTGAGTCGGTAGCTTGATGAACCTACATGTACTAATTAGGCACATGACTTACATGTATGTGGCCTACCTCACTTCAGTCACGTAAAAAGGTCCTTTTGCGTAGATATATGGCGTGATGTGTACACGTAGAAGACAGGGCTGTCTCCCCAATTATTTTGCCAATATATACTATACAATAGAAAACAAAGCTAGTTTACGGTTGTGCCCCCTTAATGATGATAACTGATTATTATTATCGGGGGGGGGGGGGTCAAAGAATTTGTTTTGGAAATCCTTCGCACGAACTTGTAGCTTATTGATTTAATATGATGGTGCTTCAAGTATTAGCTTCAAGGTTAATATTCTTTCCGAAGTGGCTTTGTTTTTTTTTTTCCTTTATTTATTTAATTTTGAGATGATAGGCCTATTGTAACACGTGGTATGTTTTTTTTTTTTTTATGAACGCTTTCAACGTTTAACAAACGTGCTCAGATTGCTTTATCAATACATACCCCCCTCCCCCCTCCAAAAATAAATTAATTAATTAATAAAAAGAAATAAATTAGAAAAAGATAGTTAATTTTTAAATGAAAAACAACTGTACTACAACTAAATGTTACATTGTGCTTATTCTTATATTTAATAAAAGAGAAAACAATAAAATAAATAAAACAATATATATATATATATATATATATATATAACAACCACCACTCCAAAAAGCCCTAGAAAAACGGAAACAACTTTTATTTAAAAATTCACTTAATACCTCTGATTTTGTTAAAGACTCGTTTGTTATGCATACTTCATTAATTTCGCACACTGATTTGTAAAATGTCTAATATTCGATATTGACGTTAAACATCATCATATGTTCATCATATATTCAACGACGAATAATATCTGTCTAATGAATGAGTTCTATGTACATCCCAGTGCAATCGGCAAAAGCTGTAGAGATTTAGCACTCTAATTGGTTTTTGTAGTGACGATGCTTATAAACTCGCCGACAGCGACAGCAGTCAGGCAAATATTGACCAGTTTTGCTGTAAAACGCCCCGATATGACAAAGAATTATCAAATAATACCGCGTAATGGGGACGTTACAGAGGACAGAGAGCTGCCATGTCCTCAGATCGAGGCTGCTTGTCGTTTGGCATCATAAACGTTATTCTCGCGAGATGTTGACTGTGACTGTTTATCACAGCTGAGATTTCTTTTCTTTTTTTTTATCAAAGTTTCAAATCTTGATATTCTATGTTCAAGGGAGGTGAGATCTAAAATTTAACTTTTTGGGCGCCAAATTAAGTGATTGTGAATAGTTCTATTGCATCAATAAAGAATATTTAATTACATGTTTTAATTAGTCGTGAAAAAAAACCCCTCACCATTGGTCATATATTAAATCGTGAAAGGACGCACGGATACTAAGCAATTCCTGGATCTATTCCCCAAATACCTACAGTGTGTCAAATTACATTCCGGTTTCCGCTCTGTTATTACCGAGTTAACTGGATAGACTACTGTTATGATATACTATTCGGACAATTTAAGTGCTTGCCTTCATAGGAAACGCGTTCTTGTAGAATTGGACATAACAGATATATTGAATTAGCTAGATTATCGTGACCTGACGTATTTGGAATATCTTGAGATAACTCAGATAAGTGATTTCAATTGCTGCCAAATGCTGCATGGAAGTTTTGAATGGAGACGAGATAGCAGTACAAAGCGGAACTGGTGATGCGTTTTTATATCTGATGAAAAAAGTGTCACATAATTATAATCCTAACTTTCTATTGAAGAGCTAAGGAGATTATTTAAATTCGTGGGAATTATTATTAATTTTTTTTTTTTTTTTTTGAAAAACATTTTTATAAAAAAAGAAATGGGGAAAAAACATTAATGTGAGCTGAAACTACAAAATCAACGAACCATTCTCTCTAGCTGGACTTTAATTGAATTCTTTTCTTTGAAAAGTTTAAGGAATGTTCTAATTTGTCATGTTGAAGAATAAAAAGTACAGCATAGATTAAAAACCATAAAACTGAGTACGACAAGACGATTACACGGATTTATCCGGAGATTTCCGGTGTCTCCAGTTAGGCTCATACAACAGTAACGCATAAAAACGGATTGATCTCTCAGTTACTAATGGTGTATTGTGTCGGGGAATCATCTTAATCGCACTATTCGGTTCTGTATCAATATTTATGGTGATTTTACCGTGTGTTCTAAAGGACAGGTGGTTTTTGCATAAGGCGTACATATAAAGCGATCCGTCCTTATGAAGCACTGCTCTAAAAAGTCCATTGTAATGTTTTAGTGTAATGAATTAGCTTGCTATAGGACTCGGAGAACATCCTATTGTTGTTTATTGGAGGGATTACTTCTAGAGTAATTTTTTTGTTCCCGTGGTGTATTAATAATATTGATGTTTTGTGCGTGAGACAGAACTTTGATTTTGTTGAGCGATGTCATAAATCAGTGATGGTATATGTGTTATCAGATGTAATGCGTCTATGATCCAATGTTATGTGTGTTAAATGGTGAAAAACCGAAACCCATTGGGGAGTTTATGTATCATTTATGGTTAACGTGCAATTTCCGTCGTTAAAAATTTGGAATTTTGCTGATAATGTGAAAGTTATGTACGATCTTTATCAGAAAACTGTTTTCAAAGTTTGGAACTTTTAACTATTGTTCGTTGTTAAAACCGATAAGATCTAGGAAGACAAAACAAACCAATACTGTGGATTTCTTTACAACATATTTTAAACTCAGACGTAAATATTGTGGAAATCAAAACCAAAGAAAGCACAATATAATGAGCTAGTGTGCTGAACTAAACGCAGTAGGCATGGCCGGTATGAAACTAATGGAGAACGAAAACTGTCCGATGTGCTCCTCATGTTTCGGTATTCTTCTGTCGTTTTTTAGATTTGAACGTCCCAGCAGTCGGAATCCAGTGGTAACAGAACAGGTACAGCCGTCCCCCAACGCTCACACGTCCCTTAACGAGAGTCTGGGGATAAGGAATGGCACGGAGGCGGGACCACTGAACTATCAGGCCATGGGAGGGACACCAACCCACAGGGTAAGTGGACACATTTGATCATGTCAACTCTATATAAATTCTCTATATTATAAGGTGATAAGAAAGGAAAATTAATGTAAACAAAATTCCTTGAATATATATGTCATGAATAAAATAAGTTTGAGGTATTTATCTTTTGTATGAATTTTACTTTTTTTTTTTTGGGGGGGGGGGGGGGGGGGCTATAACTTCCAGTATCCTAGGATCCTTAAGCAGTTTTAGACTGAAGTCAAATTTTGTAAATTGTTTTAAATTTTCAGTATCAAATCCCATAAAATTTGAATAGTTATTAAGCTTTGTTTCCTTTAAATGTTATTATTATTTTTTTTTAATTTTTAAGAATCCGGTTTCTGATAAATAGTTTTTTTTATGAATGACTAAAATTTAGACTTAATTCTAAGACTGCCTTATGATTCTGGTGGTTGATACTTTTTAGTGGCCAGGTGTTAATTCTTCGATTTTCGATTTTTTCCCCTAGTTGATTTACGATATGTGACCCATCTATACTCATACAATAATATTCTGAAGTCGTGCATTGCTGATTACTACATTTTTTTTTACGTTTGCTTAATACTTTTTTCCCATTTAAAGATTAAATTTTGCCTTGGTGTTATACCCTAGCGTTTCTATGACAAAAGCAATGACTATATATTTAAATGAATGTTCCAATGGTCACATAAACTATCCCTTATGGATGGCTGTAATGAGAATATACACGCTAAGATTATCATACACAAGCACGGTAGATCCATAGTTATCCAGCTTACTTAAGGTTACGGTCCTGCAGGAGTATAAATGGTCGTATCGATGTTTCCATCCTTGGAGACATTAAAAATAGATGGACCAGCTTATATCAGAAATCTAAAACCTGATTTAAGAACACATGTAACAGTTAAGCTCTAAATTAAGAATTACTGTGCTCTCACCATAAATCCTAGTACCCTTCCTCCGGATTGCCCCTCTGCTAAGAAAGGTAACTCTTTTTGTCGAAAAAAGTCTCCTGCAAGGATTTTTTTTTCAGATTTCGCCCTTTATGGTGTATTTAAAGTATGGCATGATTTTAAACAATTCTGTCAACTTTGAGAATATTGTGATAATTATTGGAAAAAAAATTGTAAGCAGAAGGTCACTGTTTCTGTTTGGGATTCATAAATTTGCGCCTATAAAAATTCTATTAAATGTTTGATGTATTAGAAGCATTTGCATATAAGTAATTCTGTGATTAATTTGTACTCTGGCTGTTAATTGAGAAAAGAAGAATAAAACTGTACGTTTGATCTTATTTGTCGAAAATGTTTTAAATTGCTGTACTACTCGAAATATCAACAAAAATAATGAATTTACTACTAATTTTTTAAAGTGCAGTATTGCGCTCTCCCACGTTAACATTTTATGGGGATAATTTCCTGGTTTATAAGGATATGACTATGCACAAGAGTAGTAAATATTGCTGTGATTTTCCTTATTATTCTGCTGTCAAGGAAGTCAAGCTTTTGATATACCCTGTGTTAAATTGTTGTTGGTTAATGGTCTACGACTGAGTTATTTTCCTATCGGGTCAGAAATCTCACCCCCGCCATCATGGAACATGTTTACATCGTTTACTTCATGTTCGTCATTAAAATGAAATTTACACTAATTTTTTTTTTTTATTTTTTACCGTAAGCCTTTTTTTTTTAAAATTTGATAACATGTTCAGGTCCAGTGATCGTCAAGTACCGATTGATGTGATAAAGCAATCGAATAGATTTTCTTTTTTTAACAAATCATAATCAAATTTAAAATTTCAAAGCAAAGAAATTGCTTTGACTTCTTAACCTAGAGAATTGATTCTTGTCAAAAGAAAAACAATTCTTCTGCAATTGAATAGCACAACTCTTTTTTTTTTTTTAATTTGTGAATATAATTTTTTTTGCTCTTAGAAAACAATGTATGAGAAAGTGATTAATTGTATACATATACCTGTCTTTAACGATAGACATGTTAAACAGAGAGTTTTATATAGAATTCGATGAGCACCTGACCAGTGTAAGAGAGGGATGAGGGGTAAACTATTACTAGGTGTTTTAAGATAAATCTGGGGAGTAAGCGAAAAAAAAAAATTAAGGGTGAATTAGAATCAGCACAGGTTTAAATAATTTGTTAGCAAGAAATACACTCAGCCCTTCTTTCGTCTCTCTCTTTCCCTTTCTCTCTTTCCTCTCTCTCTCTCTCTCTCTCTGTGTTTTTTTTTTATCGGAAACGTTATATGTGAATTAATTGCTGCAGGGAAACTTCTGTTAATCACAAATGATGGAGTGTTAAGCAACATTTGTCTATGACATGCTTTCCCTAGGTCAAACGACTTCTGCGCGCTTTCTGTGCATTCTTCTCCCCATAAAGTCAATAATGAATCGATAAAAAAGGAGATTAAACTTCACTTGTCGCTTAAAATTGGTGAATTTTGAATTTAAAATTGGATAAGGTAGTTTTCTTCCCTTAGGTTTTATTGAATTAGAATCTCTTTCAAAGTGGAGCTAGGCCTATCAATTTAGGAAACAATCGCTTCCTTGGAAAAAAAAATGGGGCGTTCAAAATGTCTCTTAATTTCAGAAATATCTAGGGATTCTGCTGATCCAGAAAAAAAATATTGAGAGAAAATGAAAGGATGCGGATAAGCATAAATTAGACGAGATTTACAATTTTTGGGAAGGAGAACTCCCCTGTGAATTTACATAAATTATATTATTGATCTAACAATATACGAAGGTCAAACTGTTATCAACATTTTCACCCCCATACGTATTTTTTATTTGATATTTTCTTTCTGTTTTCTGACGTGCACGCAACAAGATTGAAATCAGCTGTCATTCATTTATTATAGACTTACAAGCTTTATGAATGAATCCCGCTGTGGAATGTATTAAACTTTTATTTTAACCGATTTTCTCAATGAATCCTGCGATTATTTCCAAATAGCATCCGACAGTGGATTGTCCAATATCAGCAGGAAAAAAAAAATCGTAAAAATGGCTGTAGATTCAGATTAAGGGATGAACTGCTATAACTATATAAAAGATAAAAATTTCTCCCGGGTTATTTTTGTATTATCACTTGCTCGTCAAATTATCTAGACAATTTGTGGATATCTTGCCAGCGCAGAGAATATCGTAATACGCATGGGATGGTGCTGAAATTGACAGAAGATGCAAGTGTCAAAATTATTACCTAAATAGATATACATCTCGTAAATTGTATTTTAGTGTGGGCCGATAATTTACCTATAGTCGCTCAGTGGCATATAATAATGATATCAATGGTCTTGGAGGCCCACATTATTTTTTTCTGACGGCCGATGTTGCAATTGTCTTTTATTAGAGTTCCTGTCAGTCTGGCTATCACTGGTAGTGTTCATGTGCATATTGATATGCATATATACATGTAAACGTTTTGTGAATCACCATGTCAAAGGTAAGACCAAGATATTTTTAAAAAAGATTTTCTGATTAAGATGATATACTGGGCACAGGACATTCAAGGTTCAGTTAGAATTAAAGTGTACATATATGTACATTAATTTGTACATTTTCTTAAGATATTATACGTTGAATAGTAATTTGCAATATACTGTAACGGTTAAGAAGTGAAACCGATTTTGTCGTACATTGTATCACGGTATATTTTGCCCCCTTTTTGTGATATGGAAAATGGTTTGAACAATATTCTCTCTAAATACGGACTATAAAATTAATACATTATCGAATAATATCGTGATACGATTTTTAAACTGCAATACACAACATTAAGGATACATGTAAAACACCTGTTTCGAAATTCGAATAAATGATCAACTATATCTGGTCAATAATATCAGAAAAAATATGCTGGTGTATCAATTTAAGGCTTTCACGCGATAAATCAATTTTACTGATTGTATTTAAGGTTTGTTGATGCAGAATGAGAGATTTCAGACGGGACCGCTTTTCACGTATTTTCTCACCCCTATCTGGGAAGTTTTTTGAAGACATGTACATTAAATATTCCCTCTATCAGATAAATTTAAAAAAACGAAATTTTTTTGAGAGGCTCGTTGATAAACTTTTATATTGAAGGTCATTTAGATCTGTATTCGCGGCCCAGATGTCGCCAACCGAAAGCATTGAAACAGTATACGCCTTGTCATCTTTTAATGCATACATTTTCCGTAAATAGCTTTCCGATCGATAAATATATAATCATAAATGTATTATCAGGCCATCATATATTTGATCTTAAAACAGTTGCTCTTTAAGCCTAGTGCCACGTGTTTTAAAAAAAATGTTTTAACATTCATAACTGTTCAAATAAACGCTGTATGGCATTAGGCTTTATAAGATTCGCCCCCTCATAGCAAGCTGTTACTAAAGACTATTGTAACATTGTTAGAGCAACGTGAATTAGAGGAAAATGTCAAATCACAATAAGCAAATAATGTATTTGATAAGTTAAGTACATATTTTTTTTTGTTGAATTGATTAATGACTTTAAGGCACCCACACTTGCAAATACCAGCACAAATTGTGTACGTGATTGTGGGGGTATAAAAAAAAACATAAAACGTAGTATCAATTGTAAAATGCTGAAATGGTTTTTTTCTAGCACTTTATAGTAATGTATGTATTTTTCTGTATATGAAATTTATATAAAATACATGTGTCTCGCTGTGCCTCCTTTTTTTCCCCCGCATTATAATGTCCCAATGTAGCCCAGATGTCACCAAGATGGGTATGTAAATATGCACATTTAGAGAGACACAGTCAGCCACAGCCATCCTCTGTGCCACAATGGACAGAAGTTTTAACAAATCAGAGTCACCAAGGGAAGTATTGAATCTAATTATCACTGGTGTTAAGTGCTGAAACATGTCCTAAGGATACAGTTTTTTTCTCTTTGTCTGATATATGGGCATTCCGACATTATCGGACAGTCAAATGAAATTGACAGCAGCGGGCAGCTGTCGTGGGCGAAACACCGGGATAAGG